TCACTGCGTCTTTTGTTTTACCTTCTCTGCCTTCCCTAGGGCGCCCATCCAACATGTACTTCCAAACCCATGACCAGATCGGGATGATTAGTGCTGGCCCCAGCCACGTCACTGCTATGAACATTCCCATCCCTTTCAACCTCGTGATGCCACCGATGCCACCACCGGGATACTTTGGCCAGGCCAATGGACCAGCTGCAGGTACACGGGGCACGGGTGTAAGAGGGCAGAAGCCTTGGAGTTGCTTTTGCTCCTCTTGCTCCTGGGTTGAAGCTAGATGACAATGTGCTTGAGTCTTAGTTGTTGAATGCAAATCATTCAACACAGTGAGTTGCTTTGCCCTGTCTACCCCAACACTTCTACTTCTTAATTCTCTGCACTTGCTACTCTGAATGCTTAGAAGTATTGCCTCTTGCTAATCACCACTCGAGTCTTTGTAGAAGTAGTTAATTCCTGCTCTTGTCTGTGTGTAAAAGCTCTCTCTGATGGCTGGGATAAACACTTTTCCAGGACGTGGGGCACCAAAAGGAAAGACCGGTCGTGGTGGGCGGCAGAAAAACCGTTTTGCGATTCCTGGAACTAGTCAGTCAAACCTTCCAAATAGTCAAGCAAGCCAAGATGTGGTGTCCCAGCCTTTCTCCCAGGGTCCCCTGACTCAGGGGTATATCTCCATGAGTCAGCCGTCGCAGATGAGTCAGCCTGGGCTCTCCCAACCAGAATTATCACAGGTAAGCAGAATTTTATCTGCATGCTGTGTTTTCAAAATGTTGGTTTTTAACTCCTTGCTGCTTCAGCAGCTGGTTATTGCAGAAAGCCTAATACTTTATTGTGAAATGCCTAATACTTACGGATTACAGTTTGATTTGTAGAAATTCTGCAGCAGGAAGGTAGATTTTTAAAGCCACTCTCATGTTTTATCCTTGACTTTGGCTGCTAGGCAGTACTTGGTGCTCTGCAAGGGAGCCCTTGAGCTTGATGACCCCTCGGAGGCCTAACACCTGCTCTCGTTTGCAGGACAGTTACCTTGGTGATGAGTTTAAATCTCAGATCGATGTGGCGCTGTCACAGGACTCTACTTACCAGGGTGAACGTGCATATCAACATGGCGGAGTGACGGGACTGTCACAGTATTAGAGTGTAAGGCATTTGTTCAGTCCTCTGCCACCTCCTCCCCGCTTTAACTTCAGTACCTGTCCCAAGAGTGGCACCCGTAACGCAAATGCTCTCTTGCTTGCTTGCCTTTCCAGGTTGAGGAAGAAGAGCTAAGCTTGTGTGGAGCTTAGTTCATCAGCATTTTATTCTGGGTAATAAAAAAAATAAAATAAAATGGATACCTGTTTTCCACTGCTAAAACTGAAGCACCACTGTGTGAGAGCAACAGGAGAAAGAAACCAACCAACGGAGAGGAGAGAAAGAGAGAGAGAGAAAGGAGCGCGCGCGAGAGAGCCCACTGCTAGCTCACTGAGACAAGGAGACTGACCGGAGAGGAGAGAGAGCACCGACGGACTGGCTGGCGCCTCACGGGGAAGGCAACTCACCCCCAAATTGAGTGGTCAGCTGAGTCCCTGCTCCCCCAGTCAAACATGCTCGAGAGAAGGGCCTTCCGCAGGTGTCACTTCATTCCATCCTTCTCTCTGCGAGCAGGGCATTACTTTTCAGAGCAGACGGGGAGAGGAAAACCCTCATCTCAGAGTTGTTCTCGTTTTAAAGGGGTACTATATTTTAGCAGTAACTGTTTACACTTTTTAGAAGCAGAGTATCTTGAGAGAGAGTTCCCGAGGAAGCGACAGCAAGCCAAGCAGAAATCCGGCAGGTCACAGCTGATGCTCAACTCTGAGATGCAGGTTTTGTTGTCCAGCACTGGCTCTGAAATCCTAGTGTCATCGTGTCGCCCACATTCTGAACGGGTCTTTGTGACAAGGTGGTTTTAAAGAGATTCTTTCCAAGGAGCACTGAATTTCTAGAAGTTTGTCTCTGAATCCTTAGTGGTGGACCTGGGAGATCCTTGTTCTGAGAAGCTTAAAAGTTTAAAACCAAACCAAATTAGAGCACCAACCTTGAGAACTTTGTGTGATTTAAAGTTGCAGCAATCAGCCTCTTCTTCCTACATTGGATAGCAGTTAGAGTGAAAGGAGCCTGCGCGCTTGAGCAGGAGGAGGGTTTCCAAGTGTTTTCTGTATGCTTTAATTGGCTACTGTCTGGACTCTACTCTGTGAAAAACAAGCCTTTCTGTAAGATGAACTGTGCGCTTAAAAGGGGATGGGTTCCTGTGCCCTTCGGCCCTGGAGGAAACGATGCTACTAGGCCTGCTTTGTTCACTCCCACCGATCTGGGGAAGAAGTAGTGGAAACTGGGGATTATATTGGTTTTGAAGTAAAGCCTCTACAATGTTAGCGAAGCAGGTTTAGGGGAAAAAAAAATGGAAAAAGCAGGCAGTTGTTGGAAGGTGGCCTCTGATAGGTGGGTATAATTAGAGATAATGGGTTAGGCTTTTGTGTGGCTTCTTCAGGGATTAATGCAGAGAGCTGAACGATTCAGGTGTTTAAAAACCAACCCGGAGCCTATTTTTCAGGTAGTGGCCACGGCTGTGCCATCAATGCTGGCTTGAGAAATAGCTGGAAGTCAAAGCGGAGAACAGCACATAAAAGAAGCCATCCAATTTCTAAGTTGTACCCATGTCTTAAGTCATATGGGAACACTGGGAGCATTTTATTTGTGTCTAAACCTTTTTAGAAACAGCGCAGAGACCTGAAATTCCTACAAACCCATTTTTACCAGCCCCCTAAATTAGTCTAACCTCTACCTCCTAATTGGCTCAGATCAGTAGAGTGTGAATTAGTAACCTAGGTGTTTTTAAAGTTGGAATTAAGTTAGCTTTATACTCAAAGGGCTCCAAGTGTTTCTAGTCTTTTTTTTKGGGGGGGACGGGGGGAATTCAAAAATACCTCTCATATGAATGTACTTAAAACGATGTAAACCCCACTTTTTGTAACTTGGGGGGGTGGTGGGGAGGGAACCCCTTTCATTACTGTCCTTTCTGTAGATTGTTGACCCGCTTTCATCCCCTGTATTTGCTGTAGTTTTTCGGAGTGTCTCTCCCCCAGCACGGACGCGGTGTCGCGTGCCCCCCAGCCGGGAGTCGTGTGCACGTAAAACCAGAGCAGTTTGGATAGTTTTCCCAGTCCTGCAGTGAACGTAGTTCGAGAACTGCATCCGAAATGAAACGTTCCACAAATATTAAAAAAAAAGAAAAAACCAAAATTCTTGTTTCAGAAAAAGCCTCCAGAGTTTAGACTTCCAAAATGTGAAAGAATGGAGACACAGGCCACCTTCCTTCCTTGTGAGATGGACTGTTTTATTTATTAACATTGCCGAAGGGCTTTTAATTTTTTTTTCCTTCTGGTTAGGCTGCGTAGTTGCATAGTTTTGAGCTAGGTTGAAGCTGTAGCCCCCCTTGTGCAAGGCAATCCATTGAGTAATGTAACCCCTGCTCTCCCCCAGCCCTTTCTTTCACGGATTGGCATGCTTGCCTCTGCTTCGTGCTGTTTTTCTTTTCCTTTGTAGCAGTTAACTCTGAGTTTTATAAATCCAGACATCAGTGCTAGCACGGTGTTACTCTTTTGATTTTGTCTCAGTTTGTTTTAAACCTGTTTGTCATCAATAAAATATTAATAAACAGCTCTTGCATTCAAGGTGGCCCTTCCCTTTCAATGATGAGCCCGCGAAGCAACCGTTGAAGCGGAGTCTGATTGTATAAACTTCAAGTTTATTACTTTTTTTTAAACACAGGCTAGTACAAAAGTGTGGTGTGTGCATAGCAGACATGGATAAGCAACTGAACGGTGAGAAGTCTGTTAAGGGTCCTACCCGTGTTGCCTCCTYGGGCTCCTGCCCCTGGGTCCCTGAGCCTTGGGAAGCGGCTCCGATGGGACTAGAGATGCAGGAGCAGCCTGGAAGGGCTCCTGCCTGCTCCGTGCAAAGCTTGAACTTGCAGTGGCTCTTTCTGGAGTGGTTGACTGGCCCAGGTAGCTCAACCTGAGGCCACCCTGTGCGGCCCAAAGGGCCCTTCAAACACGGCTCAGCTGCTGCAACCAGCGCTGGGCTTCGGGGCTGCTTTTGGCACTGACCTGCGGGCTCAGATAGCAGGTAAGAAGCAGCAGGGAGTATTTAGGCTGCGCCTACCTTTGATTTAATACTGGCCAAAGACGGTCTCCGTTTCTAATTGCTCTTTCCCTGTTCTTGTTGGGTGCTGTGAGCAGAGGGGCCAGTGACCCTTGTGCTCAGGAGTCTTCCTACTCCCCCAGCACCCTTGCACCAACTAGTGCACTGTTTTTAATGCTGTGCAGCTTCAGTGGGAGACGGGGAGAAAGCTCTGATGAGCTGGGGTGAAGGGCTAAGTCCTTGCAGCTGCTCCTGTCTCAGTTCCAGTGCTCCCTGCTCATCCCTGCCCAAGGACTAGGCTCGGACCTGCCCCTGTGGGTCTGTGTCAGCCCTCGGGTACCAAAGCTGCGCCCAAGCTGGTCATTAGCCCCAGCTTGGGGTGTTGGCCAAACGCCCTGGGCTGGCTGCAAAGGAGGATTCAACCTTTAGTGCYTCCCTATGCGCTTGTTAACTGGATGGTTAAGACGGGACAACGTAGCTACGCTAAAGCTCGCGCTAAAGAACAGAACAAAAAGCTTCAAGTCTAGTTCAGATTTCTTTTCTCCACAAGGCCCTGAGCTCCAGCTGCTGCCAGTGCCTTCCCAGCCCAAAGCTGGGAAGAGGGAAGGAAGGAGGTGGCTCCACAGCTGCTGGGGAGCCCAGGCTGCAGCGCTGGGATTTGGGAGCCGGAGCTGCTGGCAGGTCCCCAGCACCGGCCCAGCTGCGAGGGGGAAACTGCCAACAGCTGCAGGCTGGACCTCGAGGCTAAAAAATACCAAAAAAAAGGAAAAATAACAAGCTCAACAACAAGAATCCTTAAAAAGCGCCCTGTAGAGCTGCAGAGCCCCATGAACACGGTGCCTGAGTTCACAGCGGCGGCTGCTGCAGGGGACCMTGGGCCCGGATTGTGGTGTCACCACCAAGGGACAGGGACGCCCACRCAGCTCCCACAGCCCAGCAGGGAGGCGGGTGTCACTGCCCCATGGGTCTGAGCATAGGCCGTGCCCCCCATCAGTGCACAGGCCCCTGTGAGCATCGGCCCTCAGCTCGCAGCCAGGCCGCCCCATTGGTGGTTAGCCGAAAAATGGAGCTGTAAACCAGGCCTCAAACCAGGCTGCGGACTGGGCCTCAAACCAGGCCTCAAACCAAGCTGCAGACTGGGCCTCAAGACTACAGACCGGGTCTTAAAGCAGGCTACAGACCAGGCTGCAACCAGGCCTTAAGCCAGACTGCGGACTGGGCCTCAAACTAGGCTGCAGGTTGAGCCACAGGTTGCAACCAGCCTTAAATCAGGCCCTAGACCAGGCCTCAAACTAGGCCGCAGACCAGGTCTTGCTCCGGCCATGGGGAACTTGCTCCCCGCAGCGTCGGGGCTCGCGAAGCGCTGCCGCCGGTGCCATGCAGCAGCCGCCTTGGTCACCACCCCGACACAGCCAGSCTGTCCACGGCCTCCAGCTCCGATGGAACCACACGCGGGACACCGGGAGCGACACCTCAGCGGGCAGCCTGGAGATGGAGGGGTGGAATCTACCCCAGGAGCCCAGTCCCTAAGGAGCAGCACGGAGGGGACGCAACACATTGGGGTTTATTCCATCACTCGTTCCACGGCGCCCCACGCAGACCCCGCCACCCGCGCGCGGCCGCCCGCCCCAGGCCTCCGCTAGCGGCAGCCGCACTCGTCCACCACCATGTCCTCGTAGTGCCGCAGCACCACGTTGTCGTGGTTGTCGTAGTAGAGGATGGAGATGGGCGAGAGGCGGACGGGGACGCAGCAGGGCTGCGGCGTGCCCGCGGGGTCCAGCGAGTGCACCATGGTCTGCAGGATGGCGTGGTTGGTGCTGTTGAGCTCGGCCGTGAGCGGGAAGGGGCACTCGCCCAGGCAGTAGTTGGCCAGGTAGCCCTGCGGGGCGATGATCCAGTTCTCCCAGCCCACGTCGCTGAAGCTGACGTAGAGGCGCCGCGGCTTGCACAGGCTGCTGGGCGTCAGCGGCGCGGCGGCCGCGCTCCGCCGGCGTCTCACGGCGCCGCCGCACGCCCGCCGCGCCAGGCTCACCACCAGCAGCGACGCGTCCACGAAGGCGTCGCAGGCGCCGGGCCGCCCGCCGGCGCCGCCATCGCCCGCCGCCAGCTCCAGCGTCAAGCCCAGGTTCCGGCGGGGCTGCCGCCACTCCCTGGCCACCGCGCTGAGGTTGAAGAGCAGCGACTTGTGCAGCTGCGCCAGGGACTGCTGCAGCAGCAGCGCCCGCGCGGGCGCCGGCCCCTCGCGCAAGGCCGGCGCGGCGCCGCGCAGGAGCCGCAGCCGCAACGCGGCGCCCCGGCCCGCGGCGTGGTACGAGTTGTGGCTGAAGCGGAGCTCCAGGCGCGCCAGCGTCAAGCGCTCGCCCGCCTCCAGCGCGGAGAGGTTGAAGAAGAGCCGCTTCTGCAGGCACAGGGGCGGCGCGTGGGGAACGAAGCGGCCTGGCGGGGAAGGGGGGAGAGAGGCGGAGGTGCCGGAGCTGCACGCGGAGCGGGAAGCACCCGCAGGCTCCTGGTCAGGGCAYGACAGGAGCGGACGGAGCGGCCACAGGCGCCGGGAGCCGCTGGCCACGAGGGCAGCGGTGCAGGGGGGACCTGGAGTGCATGGGGGCCCCACTGCCAGGCTGGGCTCTGACCCGCTCACCAAAATATCATCCCCCCGGCCAAGTGGTTGTTATGGGAGGGGAGCAAGGGCAAACTGCAGCAAGCTAAAGCGGGGGAGCAGCCCTTTATGAGCCAGGCCTCCATTTCCATCAGAAACCTCAAATCACAAGCGGGGTGAGCCCGGCAGCGGCTCGAGAAGTGGGGGACACTGAGCCCCTCGCYGGGGACAGCTTAGAGATGCCACCGGCTGGAAGAGCCGCACACAAGGGGAGCCAAAGGACGAGGGGGCCCGGCTGAGCGGCCCCCRTCCCCATTCCGAGCTGGGCGCCCAGGAGATCCCAGTTCTCCTCCCTCCAAGGTAACGCAGCAGCAGCGTCTAATGGGGACCCCCAGCGTCTCTCCTCCTGCCATCCCCCCGATGGGACAGGAGGGGATCAGAGGGGCTCCCAAGGCAGGACCCGGGCCATGGCATTTCTGTACCTTGGTCAGCGAAGACGCGGATGATGTTGCCAGGGACATTGAATTCCTCCACCCTACACGCGTCCTCGGGGCCTTTGCTGCTCAACGGGGACATCTTTCTCCTCTGGAAGATCCGCCAGAGCACGGACGGCACCGGCCCGGGGCTCTTGGGGCTGGGCTTGGCGCTCAGCCCCAGCGATTTCAGCAGCAAACTTTCCTGCGGACTTAACTCCATGGCCAGGAGGGCGGAAAGGAGGGTGCAGGCCAGGGCGGCTCGGAAGGCGGCGCGTCCGGAGCGGGGCCGCATTGCTCCGCTTCCCTCAGCAGACAAAGAGCAGGGGATGGGGACAGCGTGTTGGAGGACAGGCCGGGGGGGTGTTGATTGCCTGATTGGAGCCTTTGATGAGGTTAGTGCTCAATTAGCACAGAGGGATTCCCAGGATTGGGCAGGGGGTGCGAACTGCCCTTCCCGGCGCCCGTTAACCCTTTGAGGCCGCGGTGCCGAGGAGGGCAGCTCCCCTCCTCCCCGGCGAGCTCTCCCATCGTCTCCATTGAGGTCCAGTGTCGGGGAGAAGGCGGCTCCGTCCTTCCCTTCGCCCAGCTGGGCCCGAGGGAGCGGCGGGGACGTCGTGGATGTGTCACCGGGATAGAGCCGTGGCCAGTGGCCCCATCTCAGGCCTCGCTGCCTCCTTGGGCGCTTCCAAACCTACTCCTTGTGCCCTGGTCTTTGACCATTCCCTAAATGCTGCCGCCCTCCAGCTCTTCACRGCTCCAAGCTCCGCTCTCCAGCTCACAGCCTGGCACTCCGTCCCGGCCATGGCAGCAAAGCCGGAGGTGACACCATGACACGAATGCACCGCGGACCGGCCAGGCCCCCTCCAGGCAAGAAGGTGACAGCAGGAAAGCCAGGTTATCCATGGATAAAGCGAGGAGCTCCCGCCTCTGCTCCATCCTGCCCCTGYGCTGAAAGAGCCCCGGGCAGATGGGCCTCTGGCCTCATCCCTCCTGCAAATCCATCTGGAGAGTCAAGGAACCAAAGCACTGAGAGAGCCCAACACGCCCGGCCTCCTTGGRACACCCCGCTCTGGGGTGATGAGCACGAAGGTGACAGATCCTGTCACAGCTTGGGACCTTTTCCATCAGCCAAAGTGACACTTTGATTTCTGTTTACTGAGAAACATCCCCTACGGTTGYCAGGGTCACATCAGCACGAGAGACCAAAGAGTAAAACCACCGGCCACCCTCTAATCCTTGGAATTAATGTCCTCCATTCCCCCTCTGCGGGCTATCACCTCCGCTTCCCGGGGAGCAAGGGGAGCCACGGGACTGACCCCACAAGGAAGGACATGGGATGAGCGCCGTCTGCAGGGCTGTGACGTCCTCGGGGACCTCACAGGCCTCAGGGCTGGAAAATCAACTCACGGAGACGCTACTTTAGCGAGMGGAAACTGCTGAGCGAGACTCGGGTGGCCCCTCACTAGGGGACCCGCAGGAGTTGTCCCTAGCACTGGCTTTTCAAGCAGCTATAAGACTTAGAAGGAGTARAAGCAAACGAATGTCCCAGCCCTCATCCTGGAGGGCAAGAGGCTGGAATGCTGCTCCGGGGCTGGGTTTCCAGCAGGGCCCTGCACGTGGTGGCCGTGCCATGCTCTGGGCTCCAGGTACATGTGGTAGCTCCGTATCAGTGTCCCAGTGTCYCCTCCTGAGCCGTGTGGCTCCGGCGTGAATGGATCCCGTCTCCTTCAGCCCCAGCCTCGCAGTGGGAGCAGAGCTGGCTTTGGGCTCCCCTTGCCAACGGAGGGGAGGACATTTCCCTCCCCAGTTTGACGGTAGGGTCACAGGAACCCCCAGGACTGCTCAGACGGCGTCCATGGGGAAAGCCAACAAAGATGGGGGATATCACAGGGGACTGAGAAGAGCCGCGGGATGGTAGAGGAAAGGCCAGGGGACCTAAAGCCAGCTCCAAATCCTACCTGGACCGTGTTAGCAAAGCCCCCAGGCTCCCTGCTGAACCAGCTCCGACTGGTGACGGAAGCACGGGAGCATCGGGCGAAGCCTGGTCACGGACAGGCCCCAGCGGGGCCCGTGCCCGGCAGGGGCATCTCCTCCCCGGCCCGGGCAGGGGCTGCAGGGGTCAGGGCATGTCCTCCTTGTGCCTTCCGCTTGCTGGGTTTGGGTGTCGGGGCCCGGGTCAGTGCCCAGATCCTGCCAGGCTGCCCAGGCTGCAGTGGTGACGCTTCCCTTATAACCGCTTGTCTTTTATCAGTCCGTTCTTCAGGTGTATCCTGTGGAAAAGAGCACARCGGAACGTGAGCGCTGGTCTCTGCGCTGCCTCTCCCTTCATTCCTCCTAAATTCACTCCTGACATCGCGTGTGTCCTAAACCCCACAGATTTGGGAAGACGATTCGAGCCCAGTCCCCAGCCAGCCACCTCCCAGCCGCCTGTGGGATCCCTCATCTCRCCCATCACATGAAACACGGGTGCTGCCCAGAGAGACGAGCACCCAGAGCCAGGGGACAGGACACATAAGAGCTCAGGGGACATAAAGGAGGACAGAACCACCAGAATGCCTAAGGAGTGGGAGATACAAGGTTCTTCCTGAGCCCTGCAACGACCATCTACACCCTGTGCCAAAGGACCCCGTGGTTTCCCAGGAGCTCTGGCCTTGCCCCAGCACCCATGGGTGCTGCAGGTGCTTCCTCTCCACCCAACTCACCCKTCTTTCACAGCATTGAGCAGCTGCACTTCACCGGCTTTCTTCTTGCCCACGGTTTTCTTGCTGTCCACCACGTCGTACTCACGCACGTCGTTCACCTCTTGCATCTGCCCCATCAGCACCTTGGCCACGAACTGGACGATATACTGGAGGGAGAGGAGAATCGGTCCCAAGCCCCAGAGCCGTTTTAAGCACCCTGCTCACTCCCCTTTGCTCATCCGAGCCTCTCTTTGCTGTCCGCAGCCCCGATAAGGGCAATCTTTGAGTTACGGATTGCCCGTCTTTGGCACCCATGGGTGCAAAGAGACATCATCTCCTGCCCTGGGATGTAGTTGCCCTTGGCCAATGCGAGGGGATGGGTTCGGCCCTGCTCCCGGCCGAGCCTGCTGCGTGCAGCCTCCGCACCTTCCTCCCAGGGCTCAGGGGGATGCCGGAGCGTTTATGCCCTCATCCGAGGATCCCCCCGGGGATGGCATTCCCGCCCGCCGTTATCGCTCGCTACTCGCGGATCCCCGGGGTGCCAAACTGCCTGAATTGCAGCCCCGAGGCCCTGACACCGGCCTCCCTCCTCTGCCCCCATCCCGCCAGACCTCCCCATCCCGGCGCAGCCTCCGCAGGGCGGGAATGCCGCGGGAACGAGGCAGTAGCAGCCGAGCGGGGCAGCGGGCAGCGCAGGGGCTGCCGGGCACCTCTGCACTCACCAGGAACCAGTAGATGTTCATCAGAGTGAGGATGAAGAGCAGCACATTGAAGAAGAAGTAGAAGGGGATGTTAGGGACCACCTGGAGGCTCGAGTGGCTCGTGGCGTAGAGCACCTTGAGGGGGAACCAGTAGAGACGGAACCAGAACCTGCCAGGGCAGAGGGAGCACCCTGGGGTTAAGGGTGCCCAGGGTCCGCGGGGGACCCGGCGTGGCTTCACCCGGCCCAGCCTCGTGTCTCCAGCAGCCCCTGCTCTTGGCGCCCAGCCTGCCTTTCAAAGCCTGGTTTAGACAGGGCTTTGTCTGGGGCCCAAGAAAAGGTGGTTAATGAAGGGAAAATCTTTTACTAATGGGCAGCAAGGACTTGGCACCAGCGGCAGGACAGAGAGAGGACCTTCACAGGGGAGAGACGGGTTTATAGAGCAGAGAGGGCCACRCTCAGCCTCCGTATGCCCCATGTACCACGGAAAGCCTTCCCTGCTGTCCTCCCCCTCAGACCTGCGGTTCTTGTTGCCCCCCTACTCTTCCGAGAGGAAAGGAAGGCAAAGGGACACATTGGGAGTGACAACCTGCATGGAATTCATCCCTGTTCTTCATCGGTCTCTCTGTTGCCCCAGGAGGGAGAGCAAGGCTGGAATCTGGGACAGAGCCCTGTCCTGTTTCCTTCTCGCCGAAATGCTTCTTAGCGCTAAAATCGAGCGAGTGGGAAAACGGGGAGAGCTCCTCCTCCCCTGGGGTCATTTGTCATGCTGCAAGCGAGATTTCACAGGCACTTCTGTGGTGACAGACGGCAAAGTGACTACAGAAGGATTCCAAGCCCAGCATGGGGGCAGGCTCTGCAGGAACTTCTTCCCGAGCAGTTTGCAGCAAGGGCCGTTCCCATGCACGCAAACCCAGCAGGCTGCGCCCCGGGGCACCCGGGCGACGGCAAAAGCCGGCGGGAACGGTTGGAAGCGGGATGGGGGCCGGGCCGGCGGCCAAACTCACCAGCTGACGCTGAAGGTGAGGCAGCCGATGTTGGAGATGACGTCGTTGAGCCGGTGATAAACGCCCCCCCGGTGCTTGAAGTAGACGTTGAGCTTGGTGAATTCCAGCTGCACGTCGTTGATGTCGTGCAGGAAGAGCACAAGGATGCCCACGTTGTGGTACCTGCGGGGCCAAGGGGGGAGATGTGTGAGACGGGGGGTCCTGTTAGCCCCTRAGGTGCACGGAGCTCATCGGGGACGGACAGGTTCCGATTAATGCAGATATGAGACAAGCCCGCGTGGCAACATGCTGCAGGATGGGGCTCACACCGTGCAGGAGCTCCAGAGCGGCCACCGAGCCCCAAGCAGCGGAGAAGCTGCTCCAGCTGATAGGAATCCTCCTGGCAAAGGCCAGGATATGGACATGGAAGGGCTGCTGCCTTCACTGCCCACATCTGGCCCCGGCACGGGGGCCGTTTCAGAGGCAGGACCCTCACCTGAACGCGTAGGAGAAGGCGATGAGCGTCAGCGTGACCACGTGGTGGAGGAGCATGACCACCGAGTCCTTGCGCCACGTGTCCATGTAGGCGGTGGCGTAGATGGAGTGTCCGTAGAAGCTGCACTGCAGCAGGTAGGCGACGGCGATGTCCGTGGGCACCTCCATGCCCTTGTGCCAGCCTGCGGGCGACAGGGAGCGCCGGGTGAGGGGAGCCCCGGGCGGCATCGGAGCTCGGAGGGGCAAAGAGCACAGGGCAAGCGGCCACCAGCGCGGGGGCTCCCGCTCGACACCTCGTAGATGAAAAGGAGGCAAAAACTGAGTGAGAACCGCGAGTCCTGGCTCCCAGCCCTGCCCTTGGCGCCAGCCMCGCTCCTGCATCTGGGAACCTTGGCTTGCGTCCCCCTCGCTTGAGCTGCTGGCTGCGGATGCCCTCTGCGGTCCAAGGCAGTGCCGGGTGTCCCCGTGCCTGCCTGCACTAACCGCTAGGTGCCACCCTGCCTGCAGGGATGTGACCGCGCGGGGCCTCCACGGGCACCCCGCTTTGGTCCCTCCTGCAGCTCGGGTCCCCAGCATCCCCATCGCAGCCCCTTCTCCCGCAGYGTACCGTAGAAGACAGAGGGAGGGTCGTGGAAGAAGGTATAGTCCGTGAAGAAGAGCAGGTAGATGCCGTAGGACCAGGATAACGTGTAGAAAAAGAGCTTCCAGGCGCTCTCGGGCATCTTGGCAGCATCTTTGGGCTGCAGGTTGCACCACTCCGCAAAGGGCTGCAAGGAGAAGGGAGCAGAACCGTCAGCCGGGGTGGGAGCCGGGGTAGCCCAAAGACCCCCGAGGGCATCGGGCACACGGGCTGCCCAACACAGCATCTCCTATGGGTCGGGACTCCCAGGAATAGGAGGCTGAGCCTCCTTGGACACGCTGGAGGAGGGAAAGGAGCACGAGCGCTTCTGCAGACCGCTCACCCCGGCAGCAAAGCTCCCGCAGCCCCAATTCCCTGTGCTCCCGAGCGCCAGGAATAACAGGGAGCTCTTCCAGTGCTCGCGCTGTGCGACGGCAAGGACCCCAGGCCACCATGGCCAGGGCCACCTTAGGGATCCCAGCAAAAACGACAGAGCAGCGAAGGCTCCTTTGCAGCCCCAGGCAGGTCCACGCGCTCGCCCTGAGCTCAGCGGGCAGCACGTGGCAGCTCAAGGTCCGGCGCGAAGCGTCACTGCCCGGAACGCAGATAAGGGCCCAGGGCCACGGGCAAGCCCGAGCGCCGGCGGATAAGCGGGACACGACAGCAAAATGCCTCCGAAGTAACCCCAGCCCGGGCAGGTCAGCGCTTCGCCCGCAGCGCCCGGCCCCGCGCCGCTCCAAGGCTATATTAAGGCCCCAGCTGTCCCCAGGCTGCGGCTGGCCTGGTTTTTAGCTCCTCTCCGTGTCACACTGGCCAAGGGCTCCCCCGCCGGAGCTGTCCCAGCCTAAAAGGGCTTTGTTCCCAGCTCGGAGTTCCCAACCCACCGTCCCAGCGGCCCCATAAATCCTGGCAAGCGCCGGAGGTCCCTGCGGCCAGCGAGGAGCATCCCGTGTTGGGAGCGCGGCAGCTCCGGCTGGGAACGCGCCGCTGGCAGCGGAAGCCGCAGCAGGAAGGAGAGGAGGAAGCTCGAAGCGGGAATGAATAATGCAGAGGCACCAAGTCCCAAGCCCGGGAGCCATGAATTATTTGTGCCTCCATAAACCGGAGCGCAGAAGCSGCTCGGGTATGGGAAGGGCTCCCAGAAGGAGCAAGCTGGAGAGCCCCAGGGGYGGCTCCTCAGTCCCTTTGGTGCCTTGGGTTGGGGCTGCTGCGCTCAGCCCACCTCTCGTCCCCAGCCCAGTCACTTGTCACCTCCCCATGCCGCAGCTCCCTAGGTGCAAAGGAGAGGGGCACCCTGTTTGTACCCCCGTGAGGGAGAGCTGGTGACAGAGACGGTCACGCGCGGGGTGGCCAGGTCCAGAGAGGGCCACCCCATTCGCCACCGAAGATGCCAGCAACTGTGGGGCTCCCTGCAYGGTCTGGGGGCGCTGGAAGGGCTCCAAGCCGCCCCCGTGCCCCCCGCGGCGGGGGATGCAGTGACGGGGATGTCCTCCCGCCACCTGGCTGCGTTCCCATGGCAATGGCGCGGAGATGCCTGTTGCTACGGGCGACGGGGGCTGCGCGGAGCAGCGGGGCCGGCTCCGGCTCCGGCTCCGGCTCTGGCTGGAAGAGCCCAGGGCGCCTGGCGAGTGATGTCATGGGGCTCTGCTTAAAGGAGCCGGCTCCTTCCCTTCCCGCTGTCCAGGCGCCTCTTCCAATTCCCTCTGGGGATTCCCAGYGTGCAGGAAGGAGGCCGTTCCCGCGCAGGGCTGGCCGAGGGAACGGGGCAGGCGCTGGCTGAGCATTCCCGGCAGGAGCTGCCTCGGAAAGGGAAACCAAAGGGAAGCCGCCGCTGCCCGAGCGTCACAGAAACCCCGCAGCAAAAAGCCAGTGCCCGCTCCCTTTTTGCAGCCTGCGGCACCAAGGGGAGGCCGTTTGTCCTCTTGGATCCGCACGTTCTTCCCGTGCCCATGGTGTCGGGGTATGAATTGGGGCTCGTTACGGAGCGCCGACATCCGCCAGGTCGGCCCCTTGGTCGCCTGCCGCGCGCAGGGAGCAGCCCAACGCTGTCCGTGCTGCCCACAGGGAGGATTGAAGGCGGCGTCCGCGGGCCCGGGAGCTTCACACGAGCTTCTCCTCGCTGCAGAGGATGAGGATGAGGAAGCAGAGCTCTAACCCAGCCGGGTGGCTGTGGTCCCTCCACATCCAGCCCGGCCTCCGCTCCCCGCCCCGCTGCACCGGGGCAGGGCCAAAGGCTGGCGATGGGTGGACCCAGTCGAATGTCACCGTCTCTAACCCTAAAAGAGTCTCCCGTCCCAAGGACAGGAGCTGTCACCCCTATAGAGAATAGGAACGAGCTGAGCAGGCCGTGAAAGCCYCCCGCTCTCCACGGCTCCATCCCAGCACCAGGCACGGAGCCTCCCGCTGCCTCAGCTGCTCCAGGCCTCGTTAGGCTCCGAGGAGCGATTTCTAGATAACCACCGTGCAAACCAGACGTCACGGCACTTGCCACAGACTTGATTCTTCTCTCCGTTGGTGTCTCTGAGCTCAGATTTACCCCTGGGAGGAAAGGGCGCTGCGGGGGCTCGATAACCTTCTCCTGCCTGAATGGCGACACGTGGGCGCAGGGAAGCAGCCCCTGCTCCGAGACGTGGCAGCCTCATTCCCRGGGGAATAAAGGGGCCCTTGTTGTGGCTTTGGCCCCTGCGCGGTCGGGGATTGCGCCTCGAAGGCCGGCGGAGCAGAGCCAGGYGGGATGGGGCACGATGGAGCCTTGATAATCCCGTAGGATGGGGCAAATTTGGGCAGGGCACTGAAAGGGGCAACAGGGCTTTCCAGCTTCAGCGCCTTTCCCGGGGCTGTGCTGCCACCCGCTGCAAAGCCTGCCTTGAGATTCCTTCACGTGCCAGTTCTCACCGCGTTTTTCCTTGTGGGAAACACAGCCATCAAGGACAGAAGTGACACCTGGCAAAGCACCATCAGGTTGGGAGGCAGAAGTCCCCAGCACGAGGACCTGAACTGCGGGCTGCACCATGGCCACGGGGTGTCCTGGTCTCCTGGGCCACCCTTGTGCACGAACCCGGCGGCGTTCCCGCTTTTACCCATCCAATTTCACTGCTCTGGTCCTGCTCGGAAAGCAGCCGGACGGCACGGGCTTGCTGAGCTCCAGGTTTGCCCGGTCCTTCCCAAGGAGAGATGCGCTCAGAAGGCGATGGGACAAAGAGCAGAGGCACAAAGAGAAGACCCCAAAAGACTCCATGTCCCTTGGACCTGCATGGGGATGTCCCGGCTGCCTCCGGGGATGTTCCCTACCTGGCAATTCCCATGCACTCAGCCAAGCGGGATCTTCCCTGAGCAGAAACCATCCCTGCCTGTGCTCGCAGCAAGGGAGCACAGATACAAACCCGGCACTTGGAAGAGACCATGTCCACGGTGCAAATCCTGGGCAAAACATTCCCGTGACGCACACAGGCTCTCCCCGAATCCGYGGCGGTTTTGGACAGCAATGCCGCAGGGTGAACGCGGCTGCACCGACCCCAAGGAAAATGAGTGAACATCCTGAGCTCTGTCCTCCCACTCCCTCCAAGAAAACTGGGATGATGCAGATAACGCGGGAAGAGGTACATTGCTTTATGGCCCTTGTTTTACCGAGAAGCTAAGTAAGGTGCACGTTACGTTCCCAGCCTCAAGGTCTTGTGGTGAGAGTCACTTCCTCTTGAGATGCACAGAATTACAATCCAAGCAGCGAGATCTATTATTTATAGCTAACACGCAGGGAGGCGGCATTCGCAGGGCRCTGAATTAATTCACTTTGGGAGCGTGAGCGCCTCGCTGCTTGCCAAAACGTTAAGGATGCCACGTGAGGAAGGGCCCCCTCTGCATCCGGGGGTCCTCAGTGGGGCAGAAAGTCTGCTCTCAGGTTTAAACAAGAGGTTTTTCTTTCCATYTCCCTCCTGCTCAAGTGATGGAAACTTTTACTCTGCTGCTGAATGACCCACTCCTCTCCTACCTGCCCGGCGCTCATGCAATAAAAAAACGATTTCTCAAGAAACACTAGAGCTTTGAGGGGAAAGCCACAACCCCCAGCTTTCCCCACAGCGGGTCAGCAGAATAAATGGAAATTTTCAGGTGTTTAGTGATAATAACGGCAATAAAGCAGGCTCCTCTTGCTGCTGCTCCCCCTGCACCTATGTGYTGGAGGAAACCGATGCTATCGCGCATCCCTTAGCATCTCATCACCGCACGCAGCCACAGGAACCCGCTCCCATCAACGCTCCTCGTTCTTCTGCAATTCCAGTTGTGACCCATTTCCCAAGGGAATCGTACACCGGGTCGGCAGGAGCCCCGCGGGCGCCGCGCGGCCTCCCGAGAGCTGCTTCCCRCTCCGATCGCCAGCGCTCCGCCAAGCCGAACCCTGGCCCGCGCTCGGGAAAACCGGAGGCACCTCCGGCCTCATTCAGAGGCGTTTCCAGGTGCCCACACAGGTACCGAGGGCAACGCAGTCCTCTATCCAACACGAAACRTCGGCTCCCGGCCCGCGTGCCACCTTAGCGGCTTCAGACGGGACCTTTGTGCAGGATGAGCATCGTCCCAAGCCAGATTTGTCCTTGCTAACCTGGCACCAGCCAAGGCAGAGCCATTTTAAGCCACCAACGGGGCAGAGAAAGGGAAGTGGGAATTTCTAACGGCTAATAAATACAACGGGGAAGGGGAAGCTCCCAGTGGCTTCTTTTTCGACCTGTGAAAGAGCCTCTGAAGGGAGCAGCATCTCCAGGGAACAAGGCTGCCCCGTTCAGCCGCAGGGAGCCACGCGCTGCTCGGGGCCACGTGCCACCGCACACGGGTCTCCAGCATCGTCACCTGGCCCCCAGTGCAGCCCTTCCTTTGCCTTGGCCCTGCAAGGCCGGCGGAAATCGCAAGGTCTGCAGCAGTTCTCCGGGAAGGTAACGTGGGAGAACCGCCCCCACCAGGATGGTGCCACCGGGAGGAAAGGGAAGGATTCGTCTCGCTGCGGACGGGCTCTGCTGCAGGGTATTAAAGGAGGCTGCTCCTTGTCGCAGGCAACGCTGCCCAAGCAGCGGCCTCGCGGGGAGGGGACCAGCGACCCCGGCACTGCGGCACCGGCCCCGCCGACCGCAACGGCCAAGGACGTTTCTCCCGCATCCCGCCGCGCGCGGCGCAACGCGACCCCGCGCGAGGAACAGCCCCCGAGGGCGCGGGGAAGGGCCCCCCCGGGACGCAGCCCCGCGGCAGCCTCCACGCGCGGCGGGACGCGCGGGGCCCCGCG